TTTTCAACCCTTAGCTATACCCACTTGCTTATTTTCAATGCTTAGTAATAGCTTACTCCAACACTAAGACAAAAACACCATCTTTTTTCTTACTCACAAAGATGGGATCTGTATCTCTGAAAATAGGTGATGGAACTGCCAGATTCAAGAGAGCTTCTTACTGTTCTTCAGCTCTAAATCTGCTTATGCTCTTCTCTGTTGTTACTACTAATCTTTTTGCTTTATATGCTTTTACTTCCTCACCCAAGAACCATCATAATGCTTCTCATCTACTTCTACATACCCACAAGAACATATCTTTGATCTCAGAACAAGTTTCTTTAATCCTCAGAGAGATTGATTCATCACAAAAGAAGTTATCCCAAATGGAAAAAGAGCTTTTAGGTTATGAAAGTATTGATCTTTCTAATTCCAAGATTGCAACTGAGCTGAGAACTTTCTTGCAACACCATTTGCTTCCTTTGGGTAAAGATTCAAGAACTGGGATTACTGAAATGGTAGCTTCTGTTGGACATTCTTGTGTTAAATCTATGAATTTGTTGTCTCAGTTTATGAATTATAAGGTTAGTGGACCCTGTCCTGATGATTGGAGTCTTGGTCAGAAGCTGATTCTTAGTGGGTGTGAGCCTTTGCCAAGAAGAAGGTGCTTTGCTAAGATTATTCCTAAGGTTGGTTTACAATCTTTTCCTGATTCACTTTATAAAAATTATAGTGATAAGATTTATAGTTGGAGTGGTCTTGGTTGCAAGAATTTAGCTTGTTTAAATGCTAAGAAATTGAATAGAGATTGTGCTGGTTGTTTTGATATAATTAATGGGTATGAGACTCAGAGATATGTTAAGGGTAGGGGGAAGAATGATTTCCTTATTAATGATGTGTTAGCAATGGGAAATGGGGGAATTAGAATCGGGTTCGATATTGGTGGAGGATCTGGTACTTTTGCTGCTAGAATGGCCGAGAGGAATGTGACTGTAGTTACTGCTACTTTAAATGTTGACGCACCGTTCAGTGAATTCATTGCTGCTAGGGGTCTTTTTCCTTTGTATTTAAGTTTAGATCATCGATTCCCCTTTCATGATAATGCGTTTGATTTGGTTCACGCGGGGAATGTATTGGATGTTAACGGCCGCCCTGAAAAATTGGAGTTTTTAATGTTTGATATCGATAGAGTTCTGAGGGCTGGAGGATTGTTTTGGTTGGATAATTTCTTGTGCACCAGCGAAGATAAGAGAAGCGCGTTAACTAGGTTAATTGAACGTTTTGGGTACAAAAAGCTCAAATGGGTTGTGGGTGAGAAGATCAATGGATCTGGAAAATCCGAGGTTTATTTGTCTGCTGTTCTACAGAAACCAGTTAGAGTTTGATGGTATTACACTTCTCTGTGATCATAGGGGCGTATAAATGGTGCTTCTAGTGGTAGATTCTCTCTTAGAGAAATTATGCAAGTTCATCATTTGACATCTCATTAATTCCTTTTGCAACATAGAATAAGTGAATACAGTCGTCTTCTTTATTCATCTGGAAATCAGCATCTGAAGGAGACTGTTTCGGCTTTATGGCAGGTATCAATATATCTACAATCTGTAATATTATTCACTTACCTTGTAGTCAACTAGATATTGAAAGATCCACTTGAGGCTAATGGGAAAATGAACATGGAATCTATTGGAAGTGGCTTGAGCCGTCTGTATCAATTTTTATTTGAGTTTACAGAAAAATGTTTTTTCCCAAATTTCATTCACAGTCCAGCACTCCAGCTTCAATTACATTGTATTATTGGGATATAAATCCTCTCATCTTGTCCCTTGATTAATTCATCCGTTGCTGCCTTTCAGCTTATTATTATTTTCTGATAATCCGTTTGATATAACTTGTGGTATGCAACTTAGAACAGATGTACTTTCTAAGATGCAATAATTTCAGGGAAAATTGTTTACATGTTTTAACAGTTGTTTTGATTAAAAAAAAAAAGGGGGGGGTGGGGGGGGTTAAGGCAAATGAATCGAAGATGATCCAAAACCCTTCGTGCTAGTTTGATCCGTGTGAACTGTTTGAAAGTTTAAGATAAAAAATGCAAAGAACAACAAGATAATGTTTGGGATATCGACAAAATAGAATAATCCACTTTTTGTATTGACAAGTGTTCTTTCTTCTAAGGATCATACACAGAGAGACCCAGAGAGAGAGAGAGAGAGAGCTTCTTGTGTTGTAATGGACATGGTGCTTAGTTTCATTGAAAAGCTAGCTATATAAAACAAGCAAGAACCTTTTTTTGTGATAAGACCCTTCGACAGTGCAAAAAGGAGTGTTGAACAGGCGTCTCTGGTTCATCACGAAGCTCGATGATGGCTGATGTCAGAGAGTTGGTGAGAATACACTCCAGCTAGGGCGGGGGTCAGGGTCAAAGGAAAAAGATCCGTTAGACATGGTGCCATTGTGCCACCGGCCCACGAGGGCCTTAATGACTTTGAGACGGCACAGTTGCTTAGAGGAACTGGTTATCACGATCTCGGAGCCCGCGGCCAAGGCCACCGACTACGTTACCATCAGTGCCGAACTTCCACTAGGCCCGGACTCCCACATGTCGCGTCTCTGTTGGTACACCTGGCGGACTCCCTCATGTCGCGTCCCTGTTGGTACACCTGGCAGGTCTGGATTTTCATCCCATACAAAAATGGGTACAAATATTATGCTAATAGAGAGTTGACTATTTGGATTCCCAAGAAAGGTGTGAGAGGAGGACCCTCCAAGGATATTGACCTTCGTAGCAGTTACTTAGTTAGGTATTATTCTTTTTCTGCTAGTTAGCGTAATCCTCCAAATGTACGCACCTCCAATTGTTGCTAGATCTTACAGTGTCTTGAGTACCGTCCATTGTCTAGGATTAGAGAATTATGAAGTTATCGGCTCTGGTTTGCTTTATCTATCAGTTGCAATACCTGAATAAGGAGCCTTTCTTATCGAAATCCTTTATTCATAACTTCATATCAGTATTTACTCTAATGTACATACAAAGGATAGTCTTTGTTTATCTCATAGGAATTGTCCAAATCATCATCGTGTAGGTTTGCTAGGAACACACTCCATTCTCATTCTAATTGATTAGGAGGAAACATTAGACCCTTTCTTAAAGGATACAGGGGAGATGATAGAAGAGGTTTTCCTCGTCTCTTATTTGAGTACGGAGGTATATTACAATTCAAACCATGATCTTGAATAAACAAAAGGGTCGAATCGTTGTTAGCTTTGCCTTTTCCCTCTTCATCTGGGGTTTGGGTTGAGGCTAGGGTGGGGTACTATAGGGGGAAAAACTAAATAATCCTTGTAGTATTGTGTATAAAGTTAATTGAACATGTACCATAGGATTGGTTTCCATGCAGGGATTATTGCACTTTAGCCTGAGGGTCATGTTTTCTTGTGTCTATTTTCAGAAGCTTACCAAATTACTTAAGTTACTACAGGAATGTGCATACAAAGACTGCATTAAATATCTTAACTTTCTATTCTCTGGGATAGAACAATCAGAAGACAACTCCAATGCTGGTCTCAACTTTGAATATACCTTTAGTGCATGAAGTGCAAAATCCTTGTACCGCTGCATAGCAGACATACTCACACACAATTTACAACTACTTGCATTCCTATTATTATACACTAGTAGACTCCCTTTGTTATAATGAAGGTGATGTACCTATGGACCCTTTTTACTAGCAGGTACCAGCATTATAGGGAGTCCAAAATCATCTTTTGCAGTAACCAATATTGCAGGGATTATAGTATAAACGCGGTGCTAATTCACATTTTGAAGTTAAATTTGTTGTTTTTATTTGAAAATCAGTAAGAAAATGAAGTCAATAGGACAAATATCCAATCTACTTTAGATGCAAATTAGTAGCAGGCACAATTAGCTAGTAAAGAGGTTTAGGCATACCCACAAGTGGGGTCTGGGGAGGGTATTGTGTACGCAAACCTTAGCTCTACCTACCTTGTAAAGATAGAGGGATTGTTTCTGATAGACCCTCAACTCAAGGATAGAAGAAAAAGAAGCAAGCTCTTTCTCACTCGGTCCCGAATAGGTAATAATTTCAAAAGGTTACAATGTAGGGAGAGGTGATGATTTCAGAATAGATAAAACTAAATCAAATCCTAAGAAATCAAAAAAATAGGGAATTTACCTATGTTGGTGGGTGATTAAAGGTACTATGTGGAATGGAATAGTCAAAATGTGCGCAAATAAATAAATAAAACAAAAACATAAAGAAGTTTTCAATTGTATCAACAATATGACCTTGCGGATTTGATTCAGTTATAAGGATCCCTCCAGTAAAGTGTAAGTTAGGCGAGTTCAAATCCAGTTGCTCAACACCATTGACAAAAGTGACCATTTTCACCTTCATAAGCATGTCAACATCTCGCTCCTTCTACAACTTTTGTCTGTCACCCTGATTACTCAGTACAGAGTTTAGACGACAGCAAACAACCAAATAACAAATATTTGCAACAATCAACATAGAATATGGCCTTCAATCAGTTTGTCAATCCAAGGCAAGCTTGTACAGTAGTCTTTTGTTTAATTTGGTATATTATTACTTTCTTAAATCGCTTAACTATGGTAAGTTAGTATAATTTGGCGTAAACATCATGTGCGGATAAGCTTTTATCCAACTTTACTTATGTGTTACATATTTATCTATCATATCATTCATCAAAAAACTAAGCTTACATATATGAATTTTTCTACATTTAAGTATGAAAATGCTCGCTTTACCTTCGTCGTTGCTATGAATAACCATTAACTAACTCAAGAGCTTCCCTGCTACATGTCGAATCATCATAAAAATAAAGAGGATAAGTAATACGAGTTTGAAGACGGCAAAATGATTCGAGGCTGTTCATTTCATTGCTGTTCCAGGACTACCAATCGGCCATCTCATTCTTTCCTTTCGCCCTGTCCGGTGAGATTTCACTTCTAGAATGAAGTGAAGAGATAGGACGAAAAATGTTGACAATGCCCTAGCTGAAGGACTCTCAAATTTCTAGTAAAAGTCACAAGTACACCAGGATGAACACATAAATGTTAAAGATTCACAGAAATGAAATGCAAAGCATCTCATACAAAATCCTTGAAGGAGGGGTCAGGTGGAGGAAGTAAGCTTGAGCATATGATAAATTTACATGAAAAACAGCTCTTTCTACATTTATCTTCAGAATAGTTAATATCCATGGGATGGCTCCACCACGGAGATCCTAAAAGCATATGACCACCATTAAGGCATTCTTAAGCGTCACAAACAAAGTGATTCATCTCTGCCATTTCCTCTCTGAAAAAGCAGCATTTACACAGTCAACAAAAGATTACATGTGAGAATTTAATAAAACTTAATGTCAAGAATCTTAGAGCGCCAAATTGTGATCGACAAGAAAGGATCTTTTGGAATTTCATCTTTTTAAACCATGAAGCAAGTACTCACAGCCACAGACTGGCACAAAAAATTCACAGGGAAAGTCCTCCAGACCCCTGTGGTTTTCAATTTGAAAACATGGGGATAATTCAAGCATGGTTGAAAATCAGTTATTGGTCTCTTGCATGTGTTGAAGGCAAAGTGAATTTGACCCTACTATTTTATAACAAAGTGGACAAGCAATGACCAAAAACCAGAATATTATGATCAGAGTTAAGCGAAAAAATAAATGCTAGGTACATGAAGAAGGGTTAGGTTTGGCATTACAAGTGCTAGAATTGGCAAAGGATGATGGTTTTCCATTTGACTGACAGTGTTACAGTTAAATGTTTTTTCCCCCTTCAAATTTTGATCAGTAAAACATTGTTATTATTAGTAGACACGGATTTGCTATGCTATTTGTTAGTTTAAGGAGGACACTTTCAATTATGATGATACCACATCAACACATCCTGATAAGTTAACATGGAGTAGTCCTAGGGACATTACATTTGTTTCTCTCCTTTGGTGTGGGGGTGGGGGGATCGGAACAGGTCAGCTGACCAGGATGATCGTTCAAACAAAGACCTCCATCAGAAAGGGATGCACTCGCCAACTTATAGCCCTTTGTAGTTTCTACCCATATTAGCTTTTTGTTTAGTTAAATATTTGCACAAGATTTCTTTCAAGGGATCTAAGTTGGAAAATACCTTGCATAGATTGAGTTCCATTTCCCTTTGCACCCCGCTGTGCATGAGACGGAGACTGCCCGTCAGCGGCTGAACCCTGCCTACCACCAGAACCAGAGAGGGAGTGTTTCTTTTTTATGTATACTTCTTTACTTTGGACATCTGGACTTGATTTCGGAGAGCTACTTGAGATTGCTTTGGCTCTTGCAGATTTCGTGGCTTGCATGTAACTCGGGAGAGAATTGCTACTACTGCTATCTCTAGGCTCCTGATCATCATGTTGAGTTCTCTCTGAATCGAAAGAGTTGTGCTGCTTGCCATTTCTGTGATCCTTAGTTAGTTGTTCTGAACTTGTTATGCCTGAATCGGTTTTAGGAGTTGATGCGAACCTTATACCAGTGGATGAGGATCGGCGTTTGGGATTCGAGCCACCTTTTTCACTTCTGATCTTCTTAGGATTCACTGATACCTGACTAGAAGGTGTACCTTGGGATTCAGGGACAGTTAAATGGCTCCTTGCGGATGCTTCTGGTGATGACTTAACTGTATTGTTCTCTTTCTTCTGCTCTCCATGAAATACATTTGGGCTAATAACATCAATATGCTCACTATTTGCATCATCAATGGCATCTTCTCTCCCTCCATCAGCGTTGAAGTATGATGAGTCATTCCGAGGAATAGTTATACTATCATCTCCAATGTGTGAGCATCTATTGCTCTTATCATCAAAAGTACCATCCTCCGAATCTTTTAGTTCCTGCTCAAATTCGTAACCTCCGGCCTCATATCTATCTGGTGAATCAAGGGTGGAAGAAATAGAAAGCTCAGTACCACATTCAGAGCCCCCAACTTGAACCCTCATTGAATTTTCTGATACGGCAGTTTCCCTTGCTCCAAATCCGTGATCAGTGGTATATGAAACCATATCTGCACAAGACGAACTAGATACTTTGGCTGATTTAGCAGCTGAACTCAGTTTTTCAAACTTTGTCTGAGCAGCAACAAATGCAGGATTACTTGCCTTTCTTGATCCATTATTGAACATTTTGTCCTCTGTCTCTGGAGGCTCAGGGGAAATCCGTGTAGCAGAATGTACATTCTGGTTGCCTTCAGAGTCATTCTTATCAGAGAGAGCAGTCGGCTCAGTCTCTTGGAGCTCATCTGAGTCCTTTAAGTGAGCAGGAATAGAATCTGAAGTGTCATCTCTTGAATTAGTTTCACCAACTACCTGAGGCTGAGAATGTTCCAAATTACTATTTGAAGGAGGTGATGTTGGTTTGTGGGCTTTCAAGTCTACCCAGTCTGCACCATAAGACATCAAATTTTGATCACTTTCAGATGGAAAAGGTGATGCCTCCACAGCCCACCTGGAGTTGATTGACTTGGTTTCAAATTGAACTGTTTCCAAAAGGTTTCTCGAGTACTCAATATTTTCAATCTCCTGCTGCTCTGCAGGTAATTCCGATTCCGGGGACTGTTGATATCCTGATGAAACAGACATCCATCTTTCCAACCATTTCCACGCTGAGTCAGATTTAGAAGGATCACACTTGATATTAATACTTTTGGTCCTTGGAGTTGATTCAAGGAGCTTGCACCAAAGGAGAAAAATCAGTTCTGAACAAAAAAAAATGCACGGTACCAAAAACTTCCAGATCATGCAGAAATGTAAATCTTTTATACCTGTTGAGCAAATCTATTGCTAAGTAGCTTTGAAATAGAAGTGTATGTAACCTCCGCTTTTGTTCCCAAGTTCTCCTTTCCCTGAAAGCAACGAAAAAAAAGAAAAGAAGAAAGATACGATAGCTCAGTTAAAAGAGAAGTTGTAAGTGCTTCTCAACAAATGAATACATGTGCAAATGAGAAGCACAAGCACACATCAGAAATTATAGCTAGAGACTGTATCTTAGAGTCAAATAAGAAGCTAAAGGGTAGGATTCCCCAGATACATTTTCGGATTTATGCTTGAGCAAGAAGTATCATGAAGATTTTTCGAATTTTAACTTTCTCATACTTACATCTAGTTTGTCAGAGATATTAGATCCTTCAACAAGGCGATGAGCACTACGTGCTCGAACAAGTGCTTGCATTTTGACAATGGCTTGAACACATCGAAGAGTTCCCACAGCATGTCTTCGAACTAAATGTCCTCGTACAGCAGCTTGCAATATAGTTACATTCTTATGCTTCAATAGAGCTCTTTGAGCCTATCAGGACGAACCATCAGAGGACGACATAAAAATTTTGTTTGCCGAAATCTTTAGAACATGAAATGATCAGAACATGAAAGAAACAAAAAATTGAGGTACCAGAAATGCTCTTATTGCAGTCTGAATGACTAGAACTTCTTGTGCATCTAGAGTAAGGTCAGCTTTACTATCATTCACTTTAGTAGTGATTGGCTCTGATAGCTTTGAGTCCGCTGAGGCTGAGGACTGAGGCTCCTCATCAGCCAACTGTAGAACAGATGCCTTCTCTTGAATTGTAGAAACAGATTTTGTTTGTAGGTCAGTGTTTGCAGATTCTGCGCAGTCCTTGTTAGGAGATGATGTTTCTGAAACTATCAAACGATGACTTGGAGATCTCTTGCGGAAACTCCATCTACGTTTATCACTTGAGCCCTTGATCTGGCAAATTTCTCAAATAAGTCACCAAATAAAGCAATATAGAAAATGGAAAGAGAAAAAGTTGTATGCTACGATCTTTTTTACAGTTAAGTACTACTATTTTTTTTACAGTTATGTAACAACTGAAACCATGCTCACCCCTACAGCCGGCGGGGGGGGGGGGGGGGGGGGTAGATCAATAATAAGTAATTCACAAGCTGTATTCAAGACTCATTTCTACCACTTATATTTGAAAAAAACTAAATTATCACTTAGTTTACTTGACCTAAAAGCTGCTGACTAGTTAATCTACAGGAATAAGGACACGAAAGGTGAATGCAAGAGAGCAGTTTCATGAGAATATATCACAGAAAATAGAAGCCTAATTGGGAGTCAGAAATTTCATCTCGCCACTTTCACTAGAGAAACATAGAATGCCAATAGTACAGAGCTTCAGGAATAAATTGAATCACAACTACTAGACAAAATTTTCTTCGTAACAACATCGATTCTCCCCTTGCCATCGAAGATTGAATAAAGATTGATACAATAATCAAGATGTCTAATATAAACCTCAGAATCCTGTTCTTCTGTAGTACGCAGAAACATTAGGTCCCGAAACAAGGTACTAGTTGAATTCAATACTAATTCTAGCGTAATCATTTTAGTATTCAGTCTTGTATCTGTGGTAGAGACCAAGTTGGAAAGTATGAAAACTAAGCTCCTTTTACCAACTGAGGGGTTAATAAAAACCAGATAAACCTCACCATTGTGAAGACTTCCCAAGTCCTGATGCAGTTACGTAAAAGGGAAGCCCGGTGCACAAAGCATCCCGCATTCACGCAGGGTCCGGGACATGGGCAGATTCAGAGCATTATGCACGGTGAACCCGAAACCAGAAGTTTTTGCACATACCTTGTATATATATTACGAAATTCATTAAATATCTATAAATATTAGACTGTGAACCCATTTGTTATTATTTATCAACTTGAAATCATTATAGGAACTTATAACCTTTAAATCCTGGATCCACCCCTGGTTTGGGAAAGGGCCCACACCTATGATATAGATAGCCTACCCTAATGCAACATTTGTGGCTGCTTTTACGGCTCAAACCCCTTATTCCTGATGCCGTTACGAGTTGAATTCAAAAGTTATCCTTTGTCTAATCAGCCTACATTTGACAAAGTCCCACCCCTGATGGAGATCCAGTGGTAAAGGATGAAACTTTCTTAAATATAATGCACAGAGAAAGCCCCTGTAGTCAAGTAGAAAGTATACCCAAAATGAAAAGTTATATTAAAGATAAACCCAATCACTGTAAATATCTTCCCATATTTGTAGAACAACAGATAATGAGGGATCTATCCAAGTTTTTATTCCACACCATTTTCTCTAAAAATAAAAAACATTTCTTTAAGGCCAATAATAAAATCAGATAAACCCCATCAATTTTAAAAGACTACCCAAATTTGTAGAACAACAAACAAGACAACAGAAAATGTACACAACCTTCAGCTAGCATAAGTTAACACCTAATTTTTGTTAAAAGACACAATATTGCATATTTTTGGGCAAAAGGGTATATTTTTTTACCTCAGAAGCTTCAAATTGATCATGGTCAATGGAGTCAGTGCCACAAGAAATGATCTTGAAGCAAGAAGCTGTTGGTTTTCCCATTTTTTTCTACAGTTTCTGTGTTACACCACAGTTCAAGTGTGTAGCCTTTCTTGCTCCAGTATGTAGCAGTGTAAGGTAAATATTCGATTTGTTGGGAATTGTACCTGATTGATGGGAGAGATGATGGAGAAATAGAAAAGAAAAGTAAAAAATTAGAGACTTTTTTAAGAGCACGGACCTCACATTCTCACAAAAAGAAAAAAGGTGTATTAAGCTGTCTTTGGCATTTTGATGAACTTTGCTAAGCTTATTGAAGGAAAAATAAGGTGAAAATACTTTGGACTAAACTTATGTTTGTTTAATAGTTTTTGCCAAACAATAAAAATAAAATAAGTAGCTTTTTATTTCAAAGCTTTGAGAATCATTTTTAAAAAAATTGGCCAAACTTTTATTTAAAAAATTATGACCCTTTATTTGAACTACAAACCTACGTTAAATAAAAGTGAGCCGTTAGGCATTTAAGCAATATTGGACTTGCAGCTAAACAATGTATTTAAAGTTGAATTTTTAAAAATTGTAAAAGTTATAGTTGTATTTTGACAAAAAATTCATTAGAAAAAATTCTTTACTAAACCATTATTTCACATTAAATATATATTTTACTTGAAGTTTAGTAAATAGTTTATCAAACTTGTATTTGTTGTTCGCTACTGTGTTAAAACACAAAATCAGAAAATTGTTAGAAGAATAAAAGAAACTGGAAAACAGTAAAGAATAAGAAATATTCCGTGTCCACAATTTGCTTGTGTGTCCTTAAGGAATTTTAACCCCCTCACGCGTTGCCAAGGTAATGGATTAAATCCTCCCAGGATGATACGGAATAAACCTTCCTGCAACAGTGGCAATACAAACTGCAGGATACCAACGAACTTAAAGAACGGAGCAAAATCACACTTACGAATTTGAGAGAGAGAAACTGCGAATTAAAATGCAGTATTTTCAGAAAGAAGGAAGTTCTGTAATATTTTTGGTGTATTAAAAACGAAGCCATGCCTCAGAATTTATAGGCAATTATTGGAAGAGGTGTGATGTTTGTTCTGGAGAAAGTGCCTTTTCAGAAGTTTACGCGGCCTGCCGCGGTCCTACCGCGGTTACGCCAAGACCGCGGCCAGAGTGGCCCTCTGATCTGCAGCACGGTCCTACCGCGGTTACGCCAGGACCGCGGCCAGATTATCCTTCTGAATCTTCAGCAGTGATCTGGCATTTAATTAATTATTAAATAATTAATTAAATAAATTTTGTCCAAAAAATAATCTTATCGATCATTTGACAAATCCGAAGCCGAAGCCGAAGCCGAAGCCGAGCCGAGCGAGCGACGACGACGGCGCGAGGGTTCATTCTCTTCAACTCCTTTTAAGAGCTTTAAGAAGTGATTCTATATATAAGCACACAAATGTAGTTGTCCCTCACCAATGAGGGACAAAGTGCAAGTCAAAAGCTTACTTCATTCAAATTTTCATTTCCCTCCATTTTATTTCCCACCATTTGCAATTCACACTCTTATACTTTAAAGCGCAATGCTTAAAGTCTTTGAAGCTCAATGCCTTTAAAGTCCAACAATCCCCCACATGAATGGGAATGGATGTAACAAGAATGATCATAGATGAAAGTTGTGTGATTTGCAAGTAAGGATTAATCGCATCTGGATAAGTAGGTTTCCCTTTGAACTTTCCGTAGTGAACATATGTTGGATATACTCGGTCAATCGGTAGATTTGATATCTTTGAACCGTCGAACTTTAGTGTATACCTACACAACCATATGTTACACAACCAACCATTAACCGTCTTTTGGTTCTCATTGTTGTGTTCGTTTCAGCCATGAACACCGCCTGGTTTCATAAGTGCGTAGAGAATTGGCCTTACAGAATTCTCATTGAAGCGGCTTCCACTTCACACTTACATAGGTGATTCCTAAACGTGTAATCCTTTAGATTGACACTATTTGATAAATACTACATCAAACTTAGGTAATCATTAAAGAACATGTAAAGTTCTATCCTTGTTACTGAACATTGTCTTCATCACGAGAAGGGACCAAAGATTTTACTTTGACAATGTTGAACCGGTCAATCATAACTTTGTTGGAGCTCCTTGAACCTAGATCTCGGAACATCCAAAATTCTAGGTAGAGTTACAGCCATGTTGACTTGTCCTCGGCCATAGTCCCATTCCCTTAGATGATTTTTCAACTCCCTCTCTAGTTAAGCCTTTTGTAAGCGGATCCGCCACATTATCCTTTGATCTTACATAATCAATAGTGATAATTCCACTAGAAAGTAGTTGTCTAACGGCGTTATGTCTTCGTCGTATATGACGAGACTTTCCGTTATACATAACGCTCCCTGCCCGTCCTATTGTAGCCTCACTATCGCAATGTATGCAAATAGGAGCCAAAGGTTTTGGCCAGAACGGAATGTCTTCTAAGAAATTTCGAAGCCATTCAGCTTCTTCTCCGGTCTTATCCAAAGCTATAAACTCTGATTCCATTGTAGAGCGAGCGATGCACGTTTGTTTGAAGACTTTCAAGATACTGTCTCCTCCACCAACAGTAAAAACATATCCACTTGTGGACTTTGTTTCTGTTGAGCCGGTTATCCAATTTGCATCACTATATCCTTCGATAACCGCAGGATATTTATTGTAGTGCAAAGCGTAGTCTTGGGTATATTCCAAATATCCCAGAACTCGTTTCATTGCCACCCAGTGATGTTTGTTTGGATTACTTGTGAATCGACTAAGTTTACTTATTGCACAAGCTATATCAGGTCGTGTACAGTCAATTGAGACGTACTTTCACCTTTATTCTTTATAAGATGATGATTTAAGTCAATTGGAGTTCTTGCACTTCTAAATTCCAAGTGTTTGAATTTTTCAAGTACCATTTTCACGTAATGTGATTGAGACAAAGCTAGACCCTGAGGAGTCCTCTGGATTTTAATTCCTAGAATTACATCGGCAACTCCTAAGTCTTTCATATCAAATTTATTAGCAAGCATACGCTTAGTAGCTTGAATGTCGGCAATGTCTTTGCTCATTATTAGCATATCATCAACATATAAGCAAACAATGACTATATGATTTGGAACGTTCTTAGTGTAAACACATTTATCACATTCATTAATCTTAAAGCCATTTGACAACATTGTTTGGTCAAATTTCGCATGCCATTGCTTGGGTGCTTGTTTTAGTCCATAAAGGGACTTAACAAGTCGACACACCTTCTTTTCTTTTCCCGGAATCACAAACCCTTCAGGTTGGTCCATGTAAATTTCTTCCTCTAGATCACCATTTAAGAAGGTTGTTTTTACATCCATTTGATGGATTTGAAGATCATACAAGGCGGCTAACGCTATTAGCATCCGAATGGATGTAATTCTTGTTACCGGCGAGTATGTGTCAAAATAGTCAAGACCTTCTCGCTGTCTAAATCCTTTGACAACAAGTCTTGCTTTGTATTTGTCAATAGTACCATCGTCTTTCATTTTCTTCTTGAAAATCCATTTAGAACCCAATGTTTTGTTACCTGGAGGAAGATCAACCAATTCCCAGGTATGGTTGCTCAATATAGATTCTATTTCACTATTGACAGCTTCTTTTCAATATTGTGCTTCTGAGGAAGACATTGCTTCCTTGAAGGTACGAGGCTCATTTTCTAGCAGGAAAGTCAGAAAATCTGGACCGAATGAAGTAGATGTCCGTTGACGTTTACTTCTTCTCGGATTTTCCTCATTAGGCATACCATCTGTTATTTCCTCCCGAGGTCGTTTTGACTTTTGGTAGGTCACTTCACTTTCCTTTTTATACGGATAAATAGTTTCAAAGAATTCAGCATTATCTGATTCTATTATCGTATTAACGTGAATCTCAGGATTTCTGACTTATGAACCAGAAAACGATATGCCTTGCTATTGGTTACATATCCAATAAACACACAATCAACCATTTTTGGACCTATCTTAACCCTTTTAGGTTTAGGAACTTGTACCTTAGCTAAACACCCTCACACTTTGAAGTATTTCAAGCTGGTCTTCCTTCCTTTCCATTTTTCATAGGGAATGGACTGTGTTTTACTATGAGGTACACGGTTGATTATTCGGTTAGCTGAAAGTATAGCTTCCCCCCACAAGTTCTGTGGTAAACCAGAACTTATCAACAACGCATTCATCATCTCCTTCAACGTTCGATTCTTTCTCTTCTTATTTTGTGGCGCCTCCTCAACAATATTAGCCCTTATTATTGTCGAGTTTCCACGTGACTTCTTTTCAGCATTTTTGTTGTCTTCTTCTATCCTCAAACGAATAATCAAGTCTTCTAGTGTCATTTCCTTTCGCTTGTGTTTAAGATAGTTCTTAAAGTCCTTCCACAACGGAGGTAACTTCTCAATGAAAACGGCAACTTGAAAGGCCTCATTAATGACCATACCTTCAGCAATAAATTCATAATTAATAACAAGATAAATCTTATTAATAAATTTATTGATTCGGAGCATACCTTCAGCAAGGAGGTCATGCATAATAACTTGTAATTCTTGGACTTGAGTTATGACCCACCTAGTGTCAATCATCTTGAAATCCAAAAACCTTGCAGCCACGAACTTCTTAAGTCCGGCATCCTCAGTCTTGTACTTTTTCTCAAGCGCATTCCATAACGCTGTTGATGTTTCCATGACACTATAGACATTGTACATGCTATCTTCCAAACAACTCAAGATGTAGTTCTTGCACAAGAAATCAGAATGTTTCCATGCTTCAGTTACAACACATCGTTCGTCATCTGGAGTGTTTTCAGCCAGGACCGGAGGATCCTCCTTGATGAATCGCTGCAAACTCAACGTAGTAAGATAGAAGAGCATCTTCATTTGCCAGCGTTTGAAGTCGATACCGGAAAGTTTTCCGGGTTTTTCTGCTGGTGCCATAGCATGAGCAGGAGTTGAACGGCTTGACGAGGCAGCCACATTTGTAATAGTAGCACCCGTTCCCGCAACATTTCCATTAGTTTGGTTTTCATTCGTCATTTTTCTGTAAAGTTGGAAACAAAACAGAACTTGGTTAAATCAGTGAAGTTTTGATATCTTCAAACTGAATACCAAACCAAACATGTAACAATGGTGAAGTTTTTATATACTTCAAACCCGTACGTTTATTATTCTGGTAAAGTTTTGATGTACTTTAAACCGGACAGAACAATTGTTGGAGTAGAAAGCACGAAAGCTTTAATCTCCAAAACAATATACAAAT